CAGCCTTGTAGCTTTTGTGGATCTCGAGATGAAAACTCATTACAGACGAACACACAGACACACACATACATACATACACACATACATACATACACACACAAAGACACACACACACACACACAGACAGCCCCTCGACAATATGCGTTTTTGCATTGCACAGCTGCAAAAAACGCATAACAAGGGTGCACGCACTAAACTGTAAAGCAACAGCCATTCACACTGTTAATGATTTGACTGCTTTAAGTTTAGTGCAAAAACGCATGATCGCACCGGAAACCCTGCTGCGCATTGCTGCTTGCTTGTAAATTTGTGCTGGTGCGGAAAATGAATGTGTTGGCCGTGTGTTCGCGTGACCGCACTCTGTCACCCAGTTTCAACTCAGCAACGAGAGAAGCCAAGAGGCTGAAACTTTCGATTCTCTCACTTAAAATTATCATTCACTTACGCTTGGGTGTCACGAGCAGAAGCCAAAAAGAAAACCTATAAACTTTTTAGTGAGAAGGTGGTTTCGGGAATTTGACAAGACAGGAAGCTGAAATTTTACAGGGGTGTTCTATGTCCTTGTGTAAGCAAGTGATTTAAAATTCAGCTATGAATTTAAGCTACCACGTTACATGCGCTAATGTCTCAAAATTGAAATCGAAACAGCGCTGGCAATATGCGAACTTCGAACCAAACTGTTTAGACCTTTTTAAATTTACGAGAATATTTGTTTTCAATACATCAGCATTTAGGCATAAGATGAGCCTTAGTTACACCTGTGTGGCGCACTCGGAAGTATTTGTAAAGAAAAGCTACTTCTCCAGCCAGTTAAGCTAGGAAGCTAAAATTTTACGATGATTTCTGTGTCGGTATGCGACCTAAATATTTCGGGTTCAGCTGGCATGCAATTAACTCGGTAATCAAACCAAGTAGGAAGTGATATTTTTCTGAGGATGTCTGCTTCGCGTGGAGGGCCAGCAAACGTAAAATGGGCTTTCGGTTAGTCAAGTGCCCACGTATGAACATATCAAATGTTTAAACTGCAACGCTGCTGTAATATTACTCTCTCGTCATGTAGGTAGCGAGAATGCCGAAGCCTGATTCTGTGAGGCAAAAAGAACCTTTCACATACGCTT